TGATATTCAAAAAAAATTTTACACATCTTGGGAACGTTTAATATTCCACATAAAGTTTCAAATGCGGGAAAAAAAATAAAAAGAAAATATTTTAAAAAGTTAAAAAAAATAAATGAACAAATGAAAAAAAAATAAAAGTTCACCAGTGTCATACTCGCTTATTTAAAAAAGTTAAAAATAAATAAAAAATAAATAAAAGTATTAAATAGGTCTTAGGTATAGTAGCAACTTAGAAAAATCAGAGATTGAAGTAGAAAAATCTCATGAACTGTAATAAACATTAAGAATTATTGCTTATTATTTTTGTTTATTCTTTAATGTTACTAAAAAATAAACAACTATCATAAACATTTTAAAATTTATGTTGGGTCTGAAGTCTAGGGTATCAACAAAAAACCCAGAAGTACAGAAAAAATAAATATATAAATGTGATCTTGGACACCATACTTAACATCTCTCAAAGATAAAAGTAAAAGAGATTTGAAGTAGATGACTGTTAGATTGTTCCTAGTTTGCATTTCTTTTATAATGCAAGAAGCTTAGAAAACTTTTTAAAATGCTGTATTCTCAAAACTAATAATTGCTGAGTATGACTGATGACAGATGTTAACCTGTAAAATTACTGGTTAAACATGTCCCTAAGAACCAGTTAAATATAGGCATTTGTGAAGTTTAACCCTATTTGCTAACATTCTCAAATAATTTCACTATTAATATCATAAAATCTAGGGGGAGAAAAACCCACAATACTTCTTACCTAAGCTGTAAGAATACTGGCTGCTACTGGTAAAAATAGGGAAAGAAGTATAGATAGTAGCAAATAGTACAAATTGATAAGTATGTTTATGATAGTCATTTTGTAGTGTTTAATATTACCTTTTTAAAAATATCTCTTGGGTGCCTGGGTGGCTCAGTCAGTTAAGTGTCTGCCTTCAGCTCAGGTCATGATCTCAGGGTCCTGGGATCAAGCCTTATGTCAGGCTCTCTGCTCAGTGGGGAGTCTGCTTCTCCCTTTCACTCTCCCTCTGCGCTCTCTCTCTTTCCTCAAATAATAAATAAATAATCTTTAAAAAAATATCTCTTAACATGGAAAAATAATAAATCTTTATTCATTTACAAAAGCCAATGCAGGGGCACCTGGTTGGCTTAGTCGGTTAAGTGTCCTACTCTTGATTTTGGCTCAGGTCATGATCTCAGGGTCGTGGGGTCAAGCCCTGCATGGGGCTCTGTGCTGAACTTGAGATTCTTTCCCTCTCCCTTTCCCCCTGCCACCCCACCCCCCCGCTTGCACACATGCCCACTCTCTCTCTCAAATAAATACATACATAAATAAAATCTTTTTAAAAAATGCCAACACACATTTTATTTGATCTTTTTGATCTTTTCCTTTCTAATACCTCCACTATAGGTATCTTGCATTGTTCAGTGCCCCTAGGGCATTACCCTGAACACTAAATGATAATGATTTGTTTCTCTAATGTCCAGGGCAATGCCTTACATCTGGAAAATGGTTGGTAAATTTTTGATTATGGAAAAAATACTGCTTTTATTACCACACATGGTCTTAGGATTTGCAATAGACCATTAATTCTAAGCGGGTAGCAAAAAATTGGTATTTTTGGAATTCGGCTAGAATTCTTTACACAGGGATTCCTGGGTGGCTCAGTCGGTTAAGAATCTGACTCTTGGTTTCAGCTCAGGTCATGATCTCTGGTTCCTGAGATCCAGCCCCACAGCACGCTCCACACTGAACATGGAGTTTGCTTGTCTCTCCCGCTGCTCCTCCTCCTGCGCATGTGCTCATGCGCTCGCTCTCTCTAGAAGAAATAAAATCTTAAAAAAGAAAAGAAGAATTCTTTACACAGATGCTATGTAGCTTCATTTTCAGTTGTCATTTGTATAGTAAAACGGGTATATATCCACATGTTTTTATAAAATGGGATCATAATATTTCTGACTGATTTTTAGCTCTTAAAACTAGACTTTATTATAGGACTCATGACTGGAAAAACCACCTATATATTTATATTTGATATAATTAAATAATTTTGTATGTAAGAAGTAAAGTTTTAAATAGCTTTGTTGTCCCGAGTATTACAATTTTATTAAAGACTAAACTGATAATACTTGTTTCCATAAGAAATATTCATAGAATCTGTATTCAGAATATCATTTTTATCAGAGTTCTCTGATGCTTTATTTAATCTGGTTTTTTTGTTTTAGGTGAAGCATCTGGAGGCATTCCACAATATAAAGAAAGGATGTCTTCTGTCACTCACAGTCCTGAAATAATGGATACATCAGAACTACGGCCATTTTCCAAACCAGAAATAGCACTGACAGAAGCCCTTAGGCTTTTAGCTGACAAGGATTGGTAAGTTCATCAACCTTAACTTAAAACTAAGCTGAGTTCCAGAAGTTTTCTGAATATTTTTTATTAAAAACTTTGAAACATTCCCTATTAAAATAGTCATAGAAATGATTATTATAGTTCTTAGTCTGAGTTTTTTTCAACTTATTAATGTAACTGAACTCTGGTCCTAATAGCACTGTATTACAACCAGTTATAATTTATATACCATAATGACAGAGTTTAGCTTTATTAGGGGTTACATAAACCTTTTGGTACTAGAATACAAATCTCACCATTCCTCCAAGTGTTTCTCTGTGAAATACATCCTATAACAATCCTGGAAATACTTATCTGTTACTAGCATAGCTCAACAGCCTCCCAGCCCCGCCCTCCTGGAGCATATACTGTCCCATTACCTGCCTTGCTCCTCAGTATCTCTCTCCATCCCCATCCTCCATATCCTCAGTTTTACTTCTTTTACACCATATTCATCAACATTAAAATGTGCTATAATATCCCCTATTTTTAAAAAAACCTCCCTAAACTGCACATCTTCACATTTCTTTTATTCCCCTTTTTTAGCCAAGTCCTCACAAAGGCTGACTCATTGTCTATTTTTTCACCTCATATTCTCTTCTCAACCTTTAATTGGCTCTCAGCCCTCCCCACCATGACAACCGCATCACTGAAACTATGAAAGTGATCATCTTGCTATATCTGCATTGGTTATTTATTAGTGGTCATCTTAGCCTTTTAGCAGTATTTGACACAATCGACACTCCCTTCTAGTTTCTTGGTTCTTTTCTTGTTTTAGTATGTTCTTATTCCTTTTCTTTATTTGGCTTCAAAATTGAGGCATGCTCCAGAATACAATCCACTGGCATTCTCTATCTCCATTTATTCCATAGATCCAGGCTGGCGATCGTTTTCTGTAAAGAGCCAGATACTAAATATTTTAGGCTTTGCAGGCCAGATGTCTTTATCATAACTCCTCTACTTTGCTGTTGTAGTGTAAAAGCAGCCTTAGGGGGCGCCTGGGTGGCTCAGTCATTAAGCGTCTGCCTTCAGCTCGGGTCATGATCCCAGGTCCTGGGATTGAGCCCCGCATCGGGCTTCCTGCTCCCGGGGAAGCCTGTTCTCCCTCTCCCACTCCCTCTGCTTGTGTTTCCTCTCTCGCTGTGTCTCTCTCTGTCAAAAAATAAATAAAATCTTTAAAAAATAAATAAAATAAAAGCAGGCTTAGATAGTAAGAAAAGAAATAGGTATAGCTATGTTCCAATAAACTTTACTTATAAAAATTTCTGATGGGGTCAGATTTGGTCTGTGAGTCATAGTTTGCCAACCCCTTTCCTAAAAGATTATATTCAACTGAATATATGTCTCGATTCTAGGTATCTTCTTGAGCTCTAAACTTATAATCCATCTGCCTGCTTGACATTTTCACTTTGATGCTTATAGACATTTTAAATTTAACATATCCAAAATAGAACTCTTGATTTCCCACTTCCTGCCAAGGTGGGTTAACAGGCATAAGATTTGCCTACACATCTGAAAGAACTAAAGAAACCATACAAAATATATGAAACAGTGGTTTTCAAAATATTCCTCAGTAGGCAATGAAAATTAGTGATCCTTGAGAGACAGGAAACAAACAAGGTGAACTCTATAATTGCCCTCGCTTAACCTTCTGCAGAGTTTCCAGGTTACAGCTCAAAGAAGGGAAAACTATGTAAATACCAGCAGAGATGGAAATGGAGCTGGGAGTTTGGGGATGCCAAGGTAACTAGAGTTTGCAAGGCAGAATGCCAGAGAGGATGGAGCTTCACAAAGAACTCTGGAGACCTTCAGAGGATTCTTCTCAAATATTTAGCTGAATACTAGTCAGGGCATAAATATAAATAAATTACCTGAAGCCAGAGCTAGAATGAAGTTACAGGGAACAGTCCCTGAATACTTCTTATTCCCATCAGCACAGTGGAAAACCTCATAATTCACAGGGCGTCAAGTAGAAAACTCAAAAGAGTTTTGCTTCTTAGTGTGGAAAAATAAACCTTAGGCTAAAGACTGGTTTGGCCCTGCCCAACAAAATATAAAGCAAGGCCTAAGAGGATCAAACTTATCAAATAACCTAACTCCATCCCAGAGCAAAGGTCAAAAATAATTTAGGAATACAGAAATATCTCAGGTAAAATGCATAATGACTGACATCCAATAAAAAATTACCAGGCATGCAAAGCAGCAGGGAAATACAACCATAATGAGAAGAAAAAAAAGACAACTATTGAAACCAATCCAAAAATGATACACATGATAGAATTAGTAGACAAGGACATTATAGCTATAGTTATAATTCTATTCCATGTGTTGAAGAAACTAGAGGAAAGACATAAACAGAGAATCAGTGAGCTGTAGGACAACTTGCAAAATCCCTTTTGCCATATAATGTAACATGATTGAGGGAAATAAATCCCCTTATAGTCACACTCAAGGGGAGGGTATTATGAGGTGGTATATGCCAGGGGGCAGGAATCATGGGTGCCATCTTAGAATTCTGTATTTCACATTAGGAGTAAAAAGGGTCATTTTATAATGATAATGATAAAAAGGTCAATTCATCAAGTGATCCTGATTTTATTTATCATATACAGAGCTTCAGAATACATTAAGCAGAAACTGGTAGAACTGCAAGAAGAAATAAATAAATCCACAATTACAGTTGGAACTTCAACAACCATCTCTCATTAATTGATAGAACTAGAAGAAAGAAAATCATTGAGGATATAGAAGACTTGAATGACATGATTGACCAACTTGACCTAATTGGCATTTATAGAATACTCCACCTAAAATAGCAGAATTTACATTCTTTTTGAGTCCGTAAGGAACATTTACCAAGAAAAATATTTTGGAACATAAAATAAGTAATTTAAAAGGATTCAGATTATACAAATTTTGTTCTCTGACTATGGTGGAATTAAATTAGAAGTTAGGAACAGATACCTGGAAAATCTCCAAATGTCTTGAAACTAGCACACTTAGAAGCAACTCATGGATCCAAGAAAGTAATCAAAAGGGAAATTAGAAAGTATTTTTTAACTTTTTTTTTTTTTAAGTAGGCTCCATGCCCAGCGTGGAGCCGTATGTGGGGCTTGAACTCATGACCCTGAGATCAAGACCTGAGCCAAGATCATGTGTCTGAGCCACCCAGGCACCCCCAAAGTATTTTGAATTTAATGAAATTAAGAATGAAACATGAAAATTATGAGATGCAGCTAAATTAGAGGGAAATTTATAGCACCATAACACCTATATTACAGAAGAAGAAACATTTTATATCGGTGACCTCAGCTTTCACCTTAAACTACAAACAGAAGAGCAAATGAAGCCCAAAATAATTAAAGAAAAGAAATAATAAAGATTGCACTAGAAATCAAGAAAATAGAAAACAAACAGTACAGGAAATCAGTGAAAGCAAAAGCATGTTCTTAGAGAAGATCAATTGATAAACCTGTGATCAGACTGATCAAGCAAAATAAGAGAAAAAAACAATTACCATATCAGGAATGAGGGAATAAACATCATTACTAATCATATAGCTCTTAAACAAACAATAAAGGGATATGATAAACAGCTTTATGCCCACTAATTTAACAACTTAGTGAAATGGATAAATTCTCTGAAAGACACAAACTACCAAAACTCACTAAAAACAAAACAAAAAATTAGCTAACCTCTATAATCCAATACGTATTAAGGACATTGACATTGTATTTAAAACTTCCACAAAGAAAACTCCAGGCTCAGATGGTTTTGCTAGTGAATTATACCAAACATTTAAGGAAGAAGTCAATTCTACACAAACTTAGAACACTGAAGAGGCTGGAGTACTTCCATCTTATTCTTTGAGGCCAGTATCACCCTGATACCAAAACCATACAAAGAACTACAGACTGAGATAAAAAATATCTCATGAACATAGATGTAAAAATCTTTAAAACAAGTTTTTATTTCCCCCCCTCCTAATCCCAAATCTGCTTCTACCTCGGTGTTCATCATCTTAGTTAATAACTCTGCCATGGATATTTAGTTGTTCATACCAAGTCAGTGTTGACTTTTTATCATTTCTTTATATCCCATCAGTTCCTTTATTTTCAGAATTTATCTCAGCTGCTGATCCTGTCGTCCAAGCCACACCTGGCTGTAGTAGTGTCATCACTGGTTTGCATGCTTCCATGATTGCTCACCTCATACAACAGCCAGAGTGATACTGTTAAATCTCAAATCAGAACGTGGGATTCCTCCCCACAAAACCCTCCAGTGGCCCCCTAGAACACTAGAAAAAAAATTGTTAAACTTTTTTATAGCTTACAAAGTTTTTCATTTTCTGTCCCTTGCCTCTTTCTGTAGCCTCATCCCCTACAGGGGGATGGATGCTCTGCCTTACTTACCCACTCTAGCCATTGGGCTATTTCCTGAACATTTATGCCTCAAGATCTTTGTACTTAATTCTTTAAACATTCTTCCAGTGTCTTCTCTTTCTCTTCATGCAGGTATCTGTCAAATGTCACCTCCTCAGAGAAGCCTTCTCTCATGACTTTAACTAAAATAGTGTTCTTTTCCCCATCTTCTTATACTGCTTTATTTTTAGTATTGCTACCTGACCTTATATTTTATTTTAATACCTCTCTTAGCAATTTGATTATGATGTTCCATGTTGTGCTTTTTTTTTTTTATCTGTTTGGGGTTGTTCTTAGATCTGAGAGTTTATAGTTTGAATCAAATTTGGAAAAATTTTAGCCACTTTTTCTTAATTTCTTTTCCTGCCTCCCTCTCTCTTGACTGTACTGTTATTTGTGTGTATAGAATTGGGTTGTTTCTGCATTTAAATTAATTGTTTTTATGCTTATCCAAAAAAAAATGAGGATTTTGAACCAGACAGCTATTTAAATAGGTTTACTCTTGCTACCTTGGATTCTTAGGTCTTTCCTTTTCTCTGAGTTTTCCATAATTCATTCAGGGAATGTAAATGTTTAAAAAAATGACTGCCATCTATATTACCTAAGGAAATATTACAATATTACTAAGGAAACTAATTTTGGCTCTCATTTTTCAAACCTATAAGATGAAAATCATCACGTTGGAAATGTTATACCTAAATCCCACTTGAATCCCACTCTCTTGTTAGTATCCACCTACCCTTCTTTGGCTCATTAGGTCAGATAATGAAAGAAAAATACAAATTACAGAACCATCTGTTGGTGGTTTTCTGCTGTTGGATTATATATTTGCCAATAAGGTAGTTACTTTTCTCCTTCCATTTTTGTTGTATTGCTTCCCTCACCTTTTGTTTGCCATTCCTTTCCCTTCTGTTCTCTAGAAAGAATATGACATTCTTATTACTAGGGAGGAAATATTTCTTTTTATTTACGAAGCATGAACTTAGTGTGATGTCAATGGTGATTTTAGCTCTTAAAAGATCTTTTGAATCATGAAAGAGAACTATTGGAGCAAATAAAACTTTACATATTTTTCATTTGAAATTCCTAAATGATATGGAAAAATAAGCAACATCTCCTCAGTGGCAGTATTTCATACGACAAAAGAAGACATCTGAGATCCTGTTCCAGTTGAGCCCCATTTAATAAGTGATTTTGTCATTTGTTTCTTTTCCCATAGGGAGAAGAAAATTGAAGGACTGAATTTTATTAGGTGCTTAGCTGCTTTTCATTCTGAAATATTGAACACAAAGTTGCATGAAACAAATTTTGCAGTAGTTCAAGAGGTAAACTTATTTTTCAGCTGAGTTAAGGATTGTTTGGATAAGAAAGAATAAATATGCCATGTTAATTTGACCTTTAAAAAATATCTCTGTACTAGGGGCATCTGGGTGGCTCAGTCGGTTGAGCATCCAACTCCTGATTTTGGCTCAGATCATGATCTCAGGGTTGTGAGATTGAGCCCCACATGGGGCTCCACACTGAGGGTTGAGTTTATTTAAGTTTCTCTTTCTCTCTTTCTTTCTGCCCCTACCCTCCTCTTGTGCTCTCTCTCTCAAAAAAAAAGAATACCTCTGTACTAAATGATATAAGTAGGCTTATATGTAGTTACAAGTAGTTCCTATATGGGGCTCCTGGCTGGCTCAGTCAGGAGAGCATGCAACTCTTGATCTTAGGGTCATGAGTTCGAGCCCCACATCAAGGATAGATTTTATTAAAAAAAAAAAAAAAGTAGCTCATACCTTACTTTGCAACTTTTAAAAATTTTTATTAAATGTTAATTTTTAGGACATAGATAATATGTATTAAAACATGTTACTTTAATAGTAAATTTGGTTTCAAAGTCATTATTACTGATTTTCTTTCAGAATATCAGCAAAATGTACATTTTGGAAATTTTTTTTAGGTGAAAAATTTACGCTCTGGAGTTTCTCGTGCTGCTGTGGTCTGTTTAAGTGATCTTTTCACTTACCTGAAAAAAAACATGGATCAAGAACTAGATACTACAGTAAAAGTTTTGTTGCACAAGGCTGGAGAATCAAATACATTTATAAGAGAAGATGTTGACAAAGCACTGAGAGCTATGGTCAGTAATGTAACTCCTGCACGTGCAATTGTTTCTCTTATCAATGGAGGACAAAGGTAATATTCGAAATAATCTTGATATGTCCTTAAACTAAAAATACAATTGTTTGCAGTCTGGGATGTAGGAGAAACACAAGCAAACTTCAGTATTATTTTAGTCAAAAAACAAATAATTCTTATGTGATAAACATCATATTAGGTACAGAGCATACAAGGAAAATAATACTGTTATTCTCATAATTTTACTTATATTCATAGATCTGGAACTAAATAAATGTCAATGATTATGAGTTTTGTTTTGTTTTTAACTTCTTGGGGATGGGTAACTAATGTAATTTGTCATTTTAGCTTCCAAGGATGATTGTTGAGGGTTAGGAATAGTTTAATCATTTAACTTTAAAGGTATGTCTTTGGTAAATAGTTCATACATCAACTTTGTTTCAATTGATCATGTTTCCTTGTAGCCATTTACACATTGCAGTAAGAAGATGTACAGCCCAGCACTTATCAGATGTTGTGGGATTTATGGAACCAGAACGTATTTTATCTGGAACAAAGGATATGGCTGACCGGATATTACCAGCTGCTGCCAAGTTTGCTCAGGACAGTTCACAAGAAACCAGGTGAATAGCTGCCAATAATATTTGCCGAATCTGTTAGGATAAGGGTTAAAAGTAGGCAGCAAAGGTTAAAAAAGAGTAAACATTTTTTCTAAATGGACAAGTGGGGTCCCCAGGGATTGGTGCTGGGACAGATAGACTTATTTAACCAATTTGTAAATGATCTTGAGGGAGTGCACAGTGAATTCTCCAAATTTACAGATGACACTACATACTTCTGGGTAGTGAGATGCCATGTCACAGGGATGAACTGCATGAAAACGGCACAAGACTATATGAGTGGGCAGAAAAGTGGCAGAAGAACTTCATTGTGGGCAAATGTAAGGTAATGCACTTAGGGGAAATGATATATTTTCCAAGCAATCAGGTGAAATCAAGGAAATAGGTGCACATGAAAAATACAGGAAGCGAAATGGATAACATACTGTCTCCTGAAACATTAGATAGCTGCACTTAGAAAATCCCATAAATTTCTGATTGCTGTACTTGAAGAACAATTCTATGAAGGTTAAGAGAAAAATGACAAAAGAATTAAGATGTGGATGGTACATTACTGTATTGGTAACTTTTTTTTTTTTAAGTAAACTCTGTGCCCAACCCCAACATGGGGCTCGAACTCACAACCCCAAGAGTAAGAGTCACGTGCTCCATCAGCTGACCCAGCCAGCTGCCCCTTGATGTATTGGTCACAGAAATTTTGGATATAGTCAAGAGCCTAGGTTCAATTCCTAGCCCCAATCACTTTTTGCCCTTAAGCAAATTACCTAACGTCTGTTAGCCTAAGTTTTCTCGTATGTAAAATTAGGAAGGTGGGACTAGGTGATTGATAATGTCCCATATAAAACCTAAAAATTTATGGCAGTTACATATGAAGATAGATTAAAAGTGGGAGGGAGGGTCCTGAGTTCACAGAGACTAAAGTAAAGAAGGATATAAAATTGGGGCACATGAGGGGCGCCTGGGTGGCTCAGTCGTTAAGCGTCTGCCTTCGGCTCAGGTCATGATCCCAGGATCCTGGGATCGAGCCCCAGGATCAAGCCCCGCATCGGGCTCCCTGCTCTGCGGGAAGCCTGCTTCTCCCTCTCCCAGTCCCCCTGCTTGTGTTCCCTCTCTCGCTGTGTCTCTGTCAAATAAATAAATAAAATTTAAAAAAAAAAAATTGGGGCACCTGGGTGGCTCAGTCG